CGATAAGGAATAATTCGGATGAAATTATAAGGGAACAACAATTACAACAAATGAAAGTGAAATTCAGAAATCGTGTTTACAATAATAAACAGCTAGAGGTAGCTTTACAACAAGCAAGACAACATACTTTGAAAAAACTTTTAGTGGTACAGGATCGAGTGATTTGTCCCTTGACTTATAATGAGGCATCCACAAAATTATCAAAAGTTATTACAAGCAATTGGAAAATGCTAGCAGGTGATCCCTCTCTCCCAAGGATATTTAAAGAGAAACCTCTTATATGCTACAAATGTAATAGGAACCTCCAGGATATATTAGTCAAGACGGACCCTATACAGAGTTACACATAGATAAAGTACAACAACGGGGTAGCATCAGGTGTCTAGGCTGCGTGACGTGCAGCCACATGATACCTTCACGGACATTTAACCATCCTCATTCTAATAAGATTTTTTACATAAACCACACTATTACTTGTAAGACGCCATTTGTGGTATATAAATTGAATTGTCCATGTGGCCTATCATATATAGGCAAAACGGAGACACCTTTGTGTGAACGTATACGGGGACATCGCTCCAATATACGGACTGCCTATAGAGATGGACTGAGTGATAAACCGGTAGCTTTTTGGAGAAAGGACACCCACTGGCATCATTGAAATTTACAGCTATAGACCATATCCCAGAACCACGACGAGGTGGAGACAGAGGCAAGATGCTTTTGAATAAAGAAACATATTGGATTTTCAAGCTGGATACAGTTTACCCGAAGGGACTGAATGAACTAATAACATATCATTCATTTTTGTAATGATTTTTTTATTTTTGTGAAGATTTTTGCATTTTTCTGCTACATAGTTCTCGCTTGTTTTAATTGTTTTTAGGTCTGAGGAGCTGACAGCATAAGTGCCTAATTGGTCATTGTACATAGTAGCCATGAGGATATTTAAAGTTAGGGGCGCATATGGCCTCATAAGTTGATCATATAAGCAAAGTGATGCGTGATCAAACATAAGTATATACATGAGCACTTGTATATTTATAAAATAATAAAAGTAGAGACCCAGGCTACAGTTGTCAGCCTCTCAGACTATAATGCATGGGTGTATTGATAGAGATTTAGAGCGGAGTCACATTTAACAAGCAGAGGGGGGTCATTAGGTGGGGTTTCTTACTATAGTTTCACAGCACTGGTCATTAGGTAAGGTACATACAGTACCTATTTCACATACACTGATACGTTCATTCGTATTTAATTTTATGAATTTACATATATTTTGCACCAGTTAGTTTATTATACTTAATTTTCATCATACAATTTTTTAATCACATGTTTTATTCATATCTTTAATACATATTTAGTATATTTTTCATATACAGAGGCACTGTAGAGTTTATAGGAAATACATAAGGGTAGTGAGTTATCCTTATGGAGTCACTATTACACAGTACATACTAGTGGGGATTCATTTATCCTAGACACATATTTTCAAGGTATTAATATGATGCCGCCTCTGTAACGTTATTATGTGTCTCTAAACCCCCTGAATTAAACTTTCCCAAGGTGTAACTCCTAAACATCAGACATTCCCAAATAGCTGTAACCTGAACCATGTACAGTCCAAAATTTGCTCGGATCAGAAGCACCCAGCCTGAGCCATAACACTTTAAAGTTTGACCATGATGTCACGGCCGTCCTCCGAACCGGCTCAGAGTTCCACACATGCGGCTGATTAGTCCCAGTCTTGAAATAGGGGTTCCTGAAACTCTGGGTAGAGGAGTGCCCTAAAATCCTGGACATCCTCAGATGTCTCCTGACCTTACAAAACCCCTAAAGGGTAGACCATCTAGTGTCCATTCGCCACCCAGTTCAGGTTTAAGCTGGCCTCTGCTAACTACTGATCTGCTGAATAGTTCCAGGCAGCCAGCGTCAATTCCCGGTCCCTAGTCGGAGGCCGAACCAGGGATGTGATGATGCCGGTTGGCTGTAATTGAGGGTGCTTGACATGGTCGTGTCTGCTAGTAAAAATATTAACTGTTTGCATAATATTTCTATCCCTGCAGCTCAGCACAAATTTTAATATACAAAAAAAAGCCTATTTGAAGTAAAAATACTATATTCATATTTTCCATTATCCATACCATACTTACAGGAAGGGAATGGAAAATCCCTTCTGGTACTCGGCTATACTTTTGTTTGATCCATATTGTTGGCATTGCAGACAGGAGCCAGCCGCATATCTCAATATCTGGTGGAACAGCCCCAGGATCCTTACCTTCTGGTCTTCTATTCATGAGATTGTAACAGAGGTCCATGGTGAAGATTTAATATTCCAGGCGAATCCTTTTTTTTTTCTTTATGGTGCACCTACCTCCATGGTAGGATTCAAATGTTCAATGGACTATTGAAAGGGGTTGGTGCGGGGGCTTCCCCCGAGGAGTGGGTGGATAGGGTGGAGGGGATGTGGAGACTGGAAGTAACCATAGCCTCCTCGAAGGGTCAGATGGATCACTAAATAAGAACTTGAATGCACCAGATACTGTATATGGCCTCGGATGATTTCCTTTCCGAATTTTCTCAAGACAATTTTTGACCTTTCATCTTTGATACTCTCCTTCTCTACGCCACTACTTTTAGGGGAACCTAGTTCCCATTTTTTTCTCTTTTCTTTTTTCACCCTGATCCTGTCCTCGGTAGCCTTACATATACATTGTATAAATGTACGATGCCTTTTAACTTCTGAATTAAAAAAAATAAAGTAAGTAGAACGCTCAGTAATTTTAGCTAGGGAACATAATTATTGAAGTAAAAAATCTGCTGGAAAATACAAAGAAAAAAGTTGATACTTTTCAGACAACTTTCAAAACACTTTAATAAACTGATTTTAGAACGACTCAAACAGACCCCTTTCTGAATCTATTTTTCCTTGTCTCTCTATGCTGACTGCCATACGAAAAGGACAGGCATTGATTGGCAGGGAGCTAAGATAGAGACAGACAGTTCGAAGATAGAGAGGAGTTTTTTTTTACATTTAATATTTCTCAGATCTCACAAATT